ACTTACTATGAGGAAATCATCATATAAATGATGACAAGAATTTAGTAATTACCTTCTAATTCGATGGAAATACCTTAAAGTTTCTTAACCACCTAATTTTATTGCATCAAAATTATCTTTGATTTCAATAGATGAAACTATGGTAGCATAAATGACGCTTCTTCTTTTCTTTTCTTTTTTTTCCTTAAAATTGTCAAATTGTATTGGGGCTCACATTCATATAATTCTCAGATTCTTTGCAATTGGGATGGAGTTTTAACTTTTCAATCTAAATAGTTAAAAAAATTTAATTATAAATTAGTACATTGTATTGTAACTCACATTCATATCGTGAGACCTATATGATATTACTATGCACTTTCGACCTAACAGAAGTGGCCATGTGTATCTAGATTCTTGACTCATGACTAGGTTATCGATAGTAAAATTATATTGCATCGTAAAATCCCTTTACCTTCGAATTCTCTATGTATAAGAGTCGTAATTATATAGTTAATAATTTAAATGGTTTAATCATTATATTTTTTTGTTAAAAATAAAAAATTTTAAATTTAAATCATATAATATAAAGTAAAATATAATAAAAAATAAAAAATAATTATCTCTTACTTTAAAACAAGATAAAAAAAAATTGTAATTACATACATATATTTTGCGAGTTTGAGTTATGGAACACTGTCGCTAATAAAAAATTGGTTATAGAACACTTTTTCCTCGCAAGAAAAATAGAATGAGATCATGGGAATTAGAATCAAGTTTGAACATTAATAATCATATACTACGTACGTGAGTTGAAAGGACTCACGTGGCAGTGACAATGATGGCTGAAGTCTCGAAGAGACTTCTATCACTGTATTGTTCGACTTTCATTTGTTTAATCTCTCCGAGTAGTCATGGTATCACACCCTCTGGGACCCCAGCTGCTGGGTGCAAAACGGACCCCCAGATTCTCCCCTATCATATGCTACACTAATATGCTTCATCTGTGATACGGCATAAGAGAACTGTAAATTTTATGATTTTCTTTTGTCTATTTGGCCTATATTTACCATGAGAATTTCCTTATTCAAAAGTTTGAAATTAAGGCCAACAATTATTTTTTAAAAGATATTTTGCCTTTGGCCTTTTGGTAGAAAGAAATCATAACAACGAACAATAATTCTATTTATATCGATAATTGTATCAAGAATTTGAAATCGAATTTTCTTTTCAACCGAAAAGGGTAGGTGAAAAGTCTACTTACTATGTAATTTTGACTGAAAGGTTGCATCTTTCCCAACCATATACTACCGTGTTTGCTGCTGTATTTGCTGCTGTATTTTGTATTTTACTACAGGGAACAGCAGAAATTCAACGGAATGGAGACTTTTTAGACCCTTTCCTCTTTTTTGTTTATTATTACAGCTAGATAATTAAATTCTGTTCTTGTTTTAGTATAGAAATTAGAATTTAGGAAAAAAAAAAAAACTCCTTTTTACAATTTCATGCTCAAATCAAACAAACGGACACAACACTTAATTGGTTTTGTGTCCTGTTTTCTGAGGTCTCATCTGACTCTGAGCATATGTTTTATGTTGTATAGTAACAGATCTCAATATTTCTCTTTCTAAAATCACTTCCTTTCTTTCTCTCTCTAAGGAAGGAGGAAGAAGGGTTCCCTGTTCTCTCAAAGATTCTCTCTTTACTTTTTCTTTCTTCAGTCTTTAGCACAGACCCATCTCCTCAACACTCTCTTTCTCTGTGGGGGTCCTTCACTTCATGGGACTATCGTTTTCTTTGAAAAAAAAACCCCAGGTGGTGAAGTGCATGTGAAGTTGGGTGGAAGATCTGTGGGGGTTCTTAATGATGGGAACAGTTCGTTTTGCTTTTCGTGGTTTATCAGGTGAATGCAGTTGAAACTTATTGTTTGCCTTTTGTGTTTTCTTCTTCTTGTTCTTGCTCCCCATCCTTTGCAATCTTGTCCCTTTCAATCCCGCCATTCTTTCCATTCTGTGAAATGTACAATATTTTAGGGATTTAAGGGAGAAGATTGGAACTTTCGTGTCTCTTTTAGCTTGTTATAGCATGGAATTTGCATGTTTCATGTTAGTTTGTTCCTTGAATGTCAAGCATTGAAGCTGCAACTCTGCTATGGGAGCTAATCTTGCTACTTTGGAGTAACATTGCAGTTCCTGAGTTTCAAAGTTTGAACCTTCTACAGTTTGAAGTCTTGGGTAGAGGTATTTATGTATTTTCTTTGGTCTATTCTCTGGAGTGGTAATTCTGATATGATAATTACTAAATGGGGACGGTATCTTTGGGAAATTGTGATGTGATAGTTACTAAACGGGGACGGTATCTTTCAGAATGATTGCGTTGTGTTCGACCAGGGATCTATGAGAGCTTGAATTTTGGTGGATTTTGCGCTATTTAGTGAATAATTTGTGGGATATGGGAGATTTATTGCTTTTGAATAGACACATAATTGCAGAGATTTGGGGAATATAAGATTGAAGAAAAATGTGTCTTATTTCCTTAATTCACAGTAGATTCTGCAGTCCAAACCTGTAATGCTCTGATCATGACCAGGGCTGTTCGTGATAGGATTCTGAAGGATGCCAATGGTGATATTAGTGATCATCTACGAAATCACATTCATTTGACTAACTGTATCCACTTGAAGAACCATATGCACAAGCAGAGTCCTATATTGGCCGACAGGTTACTCATGAGGGACCTTATAGTCCTTCAGAGGTCCAGATCTCTCCGGGACCCTTCTGCCAGTCCTCACTCTTGGCATTCACATTCTGTTGTTGATATTCTTTCTAAGAAGGGTGAGAAGGATGGCATCCAAGAGGGGAGAAGGTCTGTGGGCATTGAACGATATGGTAAGAGGTTGTCTGGAAGCTCACCTTCTTTGCCAAATTTTGCAACTTCAAAAGTTGCACCTGGTGAAGCAAGCATGGTTAATGAGGCGGTTGTGGGAATTAGTGACTGCAGTAGCAAGAGTGGATTAAAAGACGGTAGAAGAGTGAGGAGAGAAAAATCTAGTTTGAGAAGTAATAGGACTGATCTGTCTGGTGAAAATAGGGAGCCTCCACAGGATCCAGAGGGTTATGGTTTGGAACATGATATTGTTTCTGGTACTTCTGCATTGAAAGATAGGAGCAAGCAAAAGGGGAAGCATGCTCAAAATGCTCAAATTAAGACCCTCTCTGAGCAATTGAATGACATTCTAATAGATAGTGATGATGTAGCATCTTCTAATGTCCATCTTCGTGAATGGCCAGCTAGACCAGAAAAGACTGGGGAAGAACCTCAAGCTAACACCCATGGTAACTCAAGTGGGTTGATCAGGGCAAAAAGGCACAGGTTTCGAGGGGCCAGGAGAGCTCAGGCAGCTCCTACAGCAAGAGAGGCTGGAGGTCAGAATGAATTGTCTGTGGCATCTAATTCATTTGGTCAAGGTTCAGCACATCCAAAGTATGGCATGGAGGAGAAGGAACCTGACCATGGAGTGGAAACTGTCATAAGGGCTCCTAGAAATGGGTGTGGAATTCCTTGGAATTGGTCCAGAATCCATCACAGGGGTAGAACTTTCCTCGATATGGCAGGAAGGAGCTTATCTTGTGGTCTGTCAGACTCCAGGTTTAGGAAAGGTGGGGAAGCTTCCCGTGGGAGAGATATTCCTGACATGCCTGTGGCATCTGATCACTCAAGTTCGTCCACAAAAGCCAATGCTGAGGTGCTACCTCTTCTAGTTGAGGCATCTGGATCCCTGGACAGCACAGAGGACGCTGGTTGGGTGAATGATTATTCAGGCGAGCTAGGTATTTTTGCTGATAATTTATTGAAACATAATGTTGATTCTGACCTTGCTTCAGAAGCTAGATCTGGTGAACGACACAGGTTAGGTAGGAACCAACATCCTAGGCATCAAAATTTGACACAAAAATACATGCCAAGAACTTTCAGAGATTTGGTTGGACAGAATTTGGTTGCACAAGCTCTTTTTAATGCGGTCATGAAAAAGAAGGTTGGATTGCTATATGTGTTTTATGGACCTCATGGCACTGGGACAACTTCTTGTGCTCGAGTATTTGCCAGGGCTTTAAATTGTCAATCAACTGAGCACCCCAAACCTTGTGGCTTTTGCAATTCTTGCATTTCTCATGATATGGGTAAGAGCCGAAATATAAGAGAAGTTGGTCCTGTTAGTAATTTTGACTTTGAGAACATTATGGATCTACTTGACAATATGATAATCTCCCACCTTCCATCACAGTATAGAGTTTTCATACTTGATGACTGTGATTCTTTGTCCACTGATTGTTGGAATGCCATATCAAAGGTCATTGACCGAGCACCAAGGCGTGTGGTTTTTGTCCTTGTCAGTTCAAGTCTTGATGTTCTGCCTCATATAATCATATCCAGATGCCAAAAGTTCTTTTTCCCAAAACTGAAGGATGCAGATATCATCTGTAGTCTGCAGTGGATTGCATCCAAAGAAAACATTGAAATAGATAAGGATGCCCTAAAATTGATTGCCTCTCGATCAGATGGATCATTGAGGGATGCAGAAATGACTCTTGAGCAGCTTAGTTTGCTTGGGCAGAGAATTTCTGTTCCTCTGGTTCAGGAACTGGTATGTCTCCTTAATTAGAGTTCATTACTAATATTTCATATCCTTAGGAATAACTTAACTGTCTGGTTGAAAAATAATCTATTTTCAATGCAAAAGAAAATTCCTTTTTGAGATTTCTGCTTTGAATGTTGGTTATATCCATGCTTGTGAAGACTTGACTGTTCTGAGGTAGCTATTATTTAAAATTTTTTGCTTCCTGGATTTAGTAAAGAAAGTAGACAAAGAAATGGATTTATTGTGATCGGCTGCTGATCCTACACATGAATTGTCATTAACTTTATGGTTCTGGTTCTCAGGTTGGGCTTATATCTGATGAAAAGTTGGTAGATCTTCTTGACTTAGCTCTATCTGCAGACACGGCAAATACTGTGAAGAATTTGAGAGTGATAATGGAAACCGGAGTAGAGCCTTTAGCTTTGATGTCACAGCTCGCTACAGTTATAACTGATATACTTGCTGGCACTTATGACTTCACTAGAGAAAGACATAGAAGGAGGTTCTTTCGACGACAGCCTTGTAAGTTTGATAAAGAAAATTCTATTATGTTGCTGTAATTATAAAATTTGAATAATGCTTCACTCATAAAATTTTTTTGCAAATTATTCAGGTTTCCCCCTCCCCACTTTATGTTAAAACAGTTGGAATCGTGGCTCAATTTTTGAGTGCATAACCTTTGCCTTTTGAAATTGTATGGCTCCTAAAGTCCAGTGTGATAAGTGATAACATATGGCAACAAGCAACAAAAATAACATATAAAAAAATACAAATCCAGCTTGCATTTTTTTCTTTGGCACTTGCATTATGTTTTTCAATGTTAACCTTCTTCCAGAGCTAACAAAATAGATATGTGCATTCCAGTGTCAAAAGAAGAAATGGAGAAACTACGGCAAGCTCTGAGGACGTTGTCTGAGGCTGACAAACAACTGAGGATGACAAATGACAAATTAACATGGCTTACAGCTGCATTGCTTCAACTTGCTCCTGATCAGCAATATGCATTACCTATTTCATCTGCCGATACTAGTTTTACTCAAAGTCCCCTTGCTCAAAATGATGTAAGAGGAAGAGACATAACCAGGAAAGATGACGAGCTTATTGAGGTGCCTAACAGCATGAGAGGCAGGTCAACAAACTCTAGATTGGAAGAACCACGAATTAGAGGTTCAATGGAATATAACAATGGTATGATGCAAGGAATTATTATTGATAGGAGGACTGTTGGGGCTGGGATGAGTCCTAGACAAACCTCTAAAGTTCCTGGTAATATGTCTAGGATTAACGAGAGACAGAGTGTAATGAAAAGCCGTATTTCAATTGAAGATGTTTGGTTGGAGGTTCTTGAGAGGATCCAAATAAGTCCTATAAAAGAGTTTTTGTGCCAAGAAGGGCAGCTGATATCAGTTAGTTTTGGTGCAGGTATCTCCTGTTTGAATTGAACCTCTTTATTTTCAATGTTATTTCTAGTTCTTGGGTTATTTTCAGTTTCCACCCTATTTTAGAACTATTAATTTTTTTGTTGATAAATTATAATAAGATGTAACATCTTAAATTCATTGGGGGGGGAAATAAACTATTCTCAGAAGGTAGGGCTTCTTCAGAATAAGATTTGGTTTGGTTTTAACATTTGTTTCTGTTGCTAGATCTGTAGGCAGTTGATCCATACTTGTTTACAATGCATGAGTTATATCTCATTCAAAAATTACCAGTCTGTATGCAATGTTAGAACTCATTCTTGATATCAGCACTCCCTCTATCTGTCATAACAAGAGCTTATACAATTTTCCTCATTTATTTGACATGTGATCCAACCTTCGCAGGAATATTGCTCTCCCTATGTTTGTTAATTTTATGGTGTCTAATTCTCTTTTCTAAATGATTGTTGTTTCTCTCAGCTCCGACTGTGCAGGTGAAGTTCAGTTCATATTCGTCCAAATCTAAGGCCGAGAAGTTTAGGGGACATATTTTGCAAGCATTTGAGTCTGTTCTTGGTTCTCCAGTGACAATTGAAATTAGATATGAAGCAAGGAAAGATGCAGTAGCTGGTTCCGTTCTACCTCTTGTCTTACTGGGCCCCAGGAATGGTTCACCCCAGATGATCATGGATCCAGAATCCAACGCTGATAACCGGATGCATGGGACAAGGGCGAGAAATAATGGAGTTGGATCTCAGGCCCAGCTCTTGCAGAGTGAAACATTTGAAGGTGGAAGGAGTGAAATTGTTGAACTTCCAGTAACCCCCCAGGAATCCAAGGGCAATGAACATGCTACCAAACATAAAGAATCTAACAGAAGAGGTGCAAGGTTGGCCAGCCCTTCAGTTTCACACAAGCAATCCACTGAGTCCGGAAGAAGCAAACTTGGGGAACATAGTCAGAGTCAGAGCATTGTTAGAAGCAAGGTATCCCTTGCACACGTGATCCAGCAGGCAGAAGGATGTACACAACACAATGGTTGGACAAAACGCAAAGCAGTTTCGATTGCTGAAAAGCTTGAACAAGAGAATCTGTATGTATCCCCACAAAGATTTACTCGAGTTTTTTAGAACTTCAACCATCTTTAAGAGTTAGATTAACTAAACTCACATTTCTAAATTTACAGAAGACTAGAACCTAAATCAAGAAGCTTGCTTTGCTGGAAAGCATCAAGGGTAACTCGTCGAAAGGTAATGTATCCTACTTCAAAATTTCCAAAATCAGACATAATCATATGACAGTCTGATCAGATTATATATTTTTCCTGCATTTGCAGCTTTCCCGCCTCAAAATCAGGACGAGAAGACCACAATCATTGCTGAAGCTTGTATCCTGTGGAAAGTGTCTCTCTTCCAAGTCTCCGAGGTAGCAGGACACCAGAAGAGTTTCTGGATGGCTTTGAACAGTGCCAGTGACACTAGCGAGGAACCTCATACATACACATTACTTTAATTAGCCATTTTGTTAGCTGTTTACAAGGTCAATTCTATCCACCAAATCATTTCATTTTCTTTGAATAAATTGTACAAGTTCTTTTCTCATTAGATAATGTGGGAAAGAAAATCAGATTAGTGTTAGCTTTCTATTAATGAATTCTTTTTCATCCATCTATATCATGTTATCATGAATAATATTCCTTAATTCCAATTAATTCCGGCCTAAACTGCATTTTCTTTGTTAAATTCAAACCAACAATGAATGAACCCCATGACTCTGAAATTCTGTATTATTTTATTACATTTTTTCAAAAAACTGTTTTACAGGTAGGTTGTACGTAGTCTATTTTATAAAATTATTTAAATATTTTTTAAAAAATAATATAAAAATAAAATTAAAAATATTTAAATAATTTTACAAAGTAAATTATATACAATTCATATTGTAATTTTCTCATATATTTTTCACCAGCGAAGAAAGTTAGTGTTTAAGTATTGCGGGACTTAACCCGTGACTTCGACCCCTGAAACACGTTTCCTCTTTTATTATCTTTTTCATAGGAGATGGACCTTTTTTTCCTTCGAAATTTCATTTTATGACCTGTATGTGGAGACACCCTCCTGAAGTCGAACTTGATTAAGATGTGCTGATGTCTTATTCCCTTATGTAAGTTACAGTAAAAATTATTACTCAAATATGGACTTTCTTTCCTTGAAACTCCCTGGACGGCTTGTCTGGATCTTGGAAAAGTCATACATAACGTCGTAATAATCTTCTTACAGTTTTTAATAATTAGGGTTAGCAATCTAATCCTGACTTACGTAATTTAATATGATAACTTAGGAATTACCGTGGACTGACCCGTGTACAGATCTTGACTGGAATTGTAGAAATATTTGTTACTATAGTTTATCAAGATTATTAACAATTTAATATATGGTTTTTTTTTTGTCCCATTAAAATTCCGTTTAATGACCCCATCAAGTAAAAAAAAAATCAACTTAAACAATCAATTATTTGATTAAATGCCTTTGAAGTAGCTTAAAAATTTACTAAACTTCGTTGAATTAGAACCTAATAACTATAAATATTTCATTTAAAGTAAAAATTAAAAGTTCAAATTACTGTAATGTTAGACAATTAACTTCTTCATATATATACATATATATTACAAAAGATTTATCAATTTTATACTTTAAATTATACTAGACTATGACCGAATAGAAGAGTGCCCCAATATCAAGAGTCCATTTTTCATCCAATGGTCACTATTTTATGTACAATGTAGTCTAAATTGGCAAATAGCATTTTGCCTTAAAAAAAGCAAGATTAGAAATTTTGAGGTTTTATTATTATTATTTTTTTTTGGGTTTGATTAGCTCTAAAAACACATATTAAAAAATTCATTTAAAGTAAAAATTAAGAATTCAAATTATTGCAATTCTAGACCAACAAAACGTGGCTGAATTATTTCTTAGTAACTTAAAAATCTTAATTTGGATCAATGTCAGAAGTTCATACTTTTATGATACTAAATAGTAAACCCTCCAATGTATAAAAAAATTACTACAATTTTAGATAGTTAACTTCTCAATATATAT